TGGTCCAGGACAGAGTGTTTCCATGGATTTCATGGACACCCTGGTGACTAGTAAGAGTGGCAAGAGGCACATCTTCGTCATCATCGATCGATTTACCAAGTACGCTAGACTAGTGGCTATGCCAGAGACCGCAAGAACTGACTATGTCATCAAGTTGTTCGAAGACAACTGGGTGCGTGACTTTGGTTTACCAAAGTCAATCATTAGTGACCGAGATGTCCGATTCACAAGTGAGTTGTGGAAGAAGACTGCAGAACAAATGGACAGTCAACTTCAGATGACTTGAGGGAATCATCCCGAAGCCAACGGACAAGCCGAGCAAATGAACAGAGTTGTACAGCACTCGCTGAGGCATTACATCAAGCCCAACCAGAATGACTAGGATGAGCAGTTGCCTCTCATCGCCAGCCTGTACAACAATGTTGTCCACAACAGTACCGACGTTAGTCCTAATCAACTTCACTTGGGATGGAAGCCTAGATCAGCATTAGACTTCCTCCTACCTGAAAACCGACCCGCCGCAACTCCTGGCACACTTGAGTATGGTGTGCAATATGAGAAGTTGCTGCAAGATGCTGTCGAGCACATGAAGAAAGCTCAGCAAGCAATGATTGCTTTTGAGAATCAACACCGTAGACAGTCCACATTTCAGGTAGTGGAACGTGTCTGGGTCAAGGCTAGTGAGTTAGGATAGGAGTTCGGAATCTCTCGCAAACTAATGCCTCAGTATTTTGGTCCCTGGGAAGTCCTGGATATAGTGGGAGATGAGATGGATGGTCCCACATATGTCATTCGTGTCCCTGGACACTTACGCACTCACCCAATCTTTCATGCCTCAAAGCTTGCACCTTTCGCTGAGACAGATCAATTCCCTTCCAGCAGATCGATGCTGCCCCCAACCATGGATGGTCAAGTGGACATCGACGACATTGTGGATCACAGAGATCTGCCTGTTCATAAGCCATTGGGTAGAGGAAAACCTCCTAAACCCAAGAGAGAATATCGCGTCAGATTCAGGCATCATATGGATCCAAAGGAAGATCGGTGGTTTACCAGAGAGTAACTGATTGACACAACTCCTCAGGTGGTGGCAGAATAAGAGAGACTGCTGAAAGGGAGGGCACCTACGAAGTAAGCATCTCAGCGGACTTTCGAAGCTAAGGGGGATGGAACGTGAGGATTGAGCCCTCAAGAAGGGGCCTTGCCATGATGTACATGTTCTGGGCTAAGGCCCCAGCAAGCCTTGTGCCCGCCCTAAGTGAAGGCGGGCCAGCAAATCAACAAGAGCCCTCTGTGCCAACATTTCACGAAGTGGGGTGCATACAGTTGCAGCACGCCAGTTTGTTGGAGTGCACCGAGTCTCGGATTTCAGCAAATGCTGAAAAACCAGGGCCTCTGAGTTAGTTAGGCCCTGGGCACTTGAACGTGAGGTCGACAATGCATGCTGGGTATAGAGGCCGAAAATGCCAAAGGGAAATTGGCCCACTATCTGAATCTGGCCGCAGGCCTTGATGAAAGAGGCGCAACTGCATTGCCCCGGGGCCCAACTGTATCGGGCTGGTTTCAGCCCATGGGGCCCAGTCGCAGGCTGAAGGGAGGCCACCCGCACGCAGCACTGGCATATAGGCAAGCAGGGCGAGTGGGCAGGGATCTTGGCCAATGCAGGCATTGCGGGCATGCTGCGCAAATGCATGTGTGCTGCGCTGTGCATGAGTTGCGCTGCGCTAAGGTGAAGCAGGCTAGCGCTAGGCGGTAGGGCGCTGCCTGCATGCATGGCACTGGCGGCCATAGCCGGGCCGCATGAGGGTGCAGGGGAGGTGAGGGTGAAGGTGGTTCTTCGGAGGTGAAGGGCGCTGTGTGGGTAAAAAGGAAGAGTGTGGGTGAAGAGGACACGTACCTGGTGGAGGTGGAGGTCG